TATAACAAAACTACACACCAATAAAACTCCCAGTAATGTGTCAGGCCCAGAGGAGGCGGGCTGAAAGCTAGCCGGATAGGAGGCATGTGTGGGTGTGGTGGGTGTAGGTGTCATAAGTGGGTGTGTCAATTAGAGTAAGGGATGGGTGTGGTCCTTTATATACCAGTCATTTTGTCTCCCTTACCTCAGCCATCTTAGATTTAACGGCGTGGTAACATCTCTGCATCCTCCTGTGCTTACCACTGCTTGTCAAACGGCCAAGGGTATGGATATTGATGCAATCCTCGCTGCCCTCCGGGCTGAGGCCCTTCAAGATGGTGGACGGCACCTGCAGTCACAGCTAGTACGCCTACAGGGTGCTCCTAGTGTGGCTGCTCCCTCTAATGGCAGCCCTGGGAACCAGGGTGCTGATCTTGTGGCTGCTCCCTCTAATGGCGGCCATGGGAACCAGCGCCGTCGCGCACGTCCCCCTGCCCGGTATAGCCCCTCACGGGAGGGTCGGGTGAGGGAGAGGAGTAGGAGCCCTGTCGCCGGCCCGCGCGCCAGTTCCTCCGCGGCCGCGGGCAGCACCTCCTCTCGTGTGTCAACACGCCGGATGGATGCCGGTCATGCCGCATCGCGGCTACCACCCCCCCCCCGGTCTCGCGGGCTCGGCGGAGGTCGGCCGCGAGAACACAGCACCTCACTGCACAGCGGGCACTAACCACCCGGTCGGCCTTGGCGGGATCAACGGCGGTGCAAGGGCGGGTGGCCCTCTCTCCAGGTCGGGTAAGTAGGCCGCTGGTCGGCAGGGCTGTCTCCAGGGGGGTGGGGGGTTCTGGGGCACGGGGCAGGGAGTATGCTTCCCCTAACTTACCTCTCAGCCCTCCCCCTGCTCTCCCTCCCCACTCTGTCTCCCCTGGAGCTGCTCCTGTCCCTGCGCCTGCTCCACTGTCTGCTGGACCTGTCCCTGTGGCAGCTGTGTTACACTCTGCCCCTCCACTTCTCCCTTCCTCCTCAGCTGCCCCCATCATGGCTGGGGCCCTTACAGGGTCTCCTGGGCCAGCCCCTCTCAATTTCCCTGCCTTGCCCACTGGCCCACTCATGGCTGGTGCCCAGCTTGCCCCCCCTGGCCCACTTCATACCACGTTGCCCCCCATTCATCCTGCCACTCTTACAGAGGGGGCCCATTGTTCCCCCACAGGGCCCTCCCCTACCGGTTTCCTTTCTACTGGGGTGGGTGGGCCGGGGTCCATCTCACCTGTGTTGTCTTCGCAGATTACTCCTGGTAGGCTCTCGGTTCGTTTTGCTGACGTTGCGACTGGTGCAGATCCTCCTGCAGTCGCTGTTCCAGCTGGGCCACCACAGTCTAGCGGCCAGGGCGTGGCTCCACAGATGGCTTCACATTCGGTTCCCGCCAGTGAGTATATTAGTTTACAAGGTTTGGGGTCGGGGTGTGTTAGCGCAGTCATCCCAGAATGGGATTCGTTGCTGCAAACTATGCGACAGGTTTTACATTCCTTGGAAAAGGGCCGCCCCCCTGGGGCTCCCCTCACCTCGACTTTAGATAACCAACTTAGAACGGGTTGGGCGACTAGCGGAGGGTCAGGTGTCCTGCCTTCTACTTCGGCTGGCTCAGGGGGGCCTACTGCCCTCCTAGAATCTTTGCCTGCCGCAGGAGAGCTCGGAAGCCCCGTGGGGTCAACAGTGACCCCCACTGCGGTTCAGGACTTGGGGGTCGCACCCGCTGCGCACGGGGCGGCTTACATGTGTTGGTCAGGCCCCCTGGGCCTCCATTTGACAGCTGAATTGCGGGCCAAGATAGAGAAAGGGGAATTTGTTGAAATTTTTCTCTTCTCCCTATGGAGGACTTGCCTCGGGTTGATCCTGTAGCAAAGGAGTCTGAAAAGGAGAAAGAGAAGTTTCGGTATCGGAAGATACCAAAAACTTTTGGGAATTGGATCAGGGCCTTTTCTATCCTGTCTAGCGTTATAGGGGAAAAGACTCCCAACAAATGCTCTTCTCTATTTTGCTACCAGGATATGATCTGGAACGCGTGTCGGGTTTATGGCGGGTTAGGCTGGTGGCGGTATGATGAACAGTTCCGCCAGCGCTTAGCGGTGCGCCCTTCCCTGAGTTGGGATCAAATGGATATCGGCTTGTGGTTGGCCATCATGACCCGTCCCGCTTCACATCAGGGGGGCCTGTCGTCCTTTCTTGGGGGGGCCGGCGCAGGGTCCTCACCCTCCGCGTCGGCCACTCAGCGTAGAACAGGTTGCTGTTGGCAATTTAACGACAGCCAGTGTAAATTCGGAGCAAATTGTCGCTTCAAGCACGAATGCTCCAGTTGCGGCGGGTCCCATCCCGCTTCTAAGTGTTTTAAACGGGGTAAGTTTGGCGAAAAAGGGGATGCCATGGGCGCTAAGGGCGAAGACGCCGGTGGACGTCGTCGCGATGCGTCCGTGGCTAAAACGTTATAGGAACAAAAAGGCGGCTGCCTTGCTCCTGGAAGGGTTTACTCATGGTTTTTGGATTCCCCATCGGGCTCGTTCGCCCTCAGGGTCGTGTCGGAACCTGCGTTCCGTTGCTGAACACCCGGGGGTGGTAAAAGACAAGCTGGCTAAGGAAGTGGCATTGGGCCGCATGGCTGGCCCCTTTTTGTGAACCCCCCCTTCCTGACCTTCGGGTATCGCCACTAGGCGTCGTTCCCAAGAGAGAGCACGGGAAATTTCGGCTAATTCATCATCTCTCGCACCCCCAAGGGTGTTCCGTGAATGATGACATTGCGGCGGAGCTATGCCGGGTTTCATACGCCTCGTTTGATACTGCGGTTGGTATGGTTAGGGCCGCGGGCCCCGGTGCACTGATGGCAAAAACCGACATTGAGTCGGCTTTTCGCCTCCTGCCGGTTCACCCGGAGTGTCATCATCTGCTCGGCTGTTCCTTTGAAGGGCAATTTTACGTGGATATGTGCCTCCCGATGGGTTGTGCAATATCCTGCTTTTATTTTGAATGTTTTAGCTCCTTCATGGAATGGGTAGTGAGAGCTGAGTCTGGTTATGACTCAGTGCTTCACTATTTGGATGATTTTCTTTGTGTGGGTCCCGCGAACTCCCCGATATGCGCGCACATTTTGCAATCGGTAGCCGACGTGGCCTGTGGGTTCGGCGTGCCTCTGGCGCCCGACAAAACGGTGGGCCTTTCCCCGTGCTTGTGTTTTCTTGGAATTGAGATCGATTCGGTTATTGGGGAATGTCGGCTCCCGCCGGATAAGTTGGAGGATCTGCGGGGGGCTGTGCGGGAGGCGAGCTCCCTCCGGAAGATTACTTTACAACGGCTTCAATCCCTCCTTGGCAAGTTGAATTTTGCCTGTCGGATTATGCCTATGGGACGAGTGTTTAACCGGCGCCTAGCGGCCGCCACGGCAGGAATTGTAAAATCATTCCATTTTATCCGCTTAACCAAAGTGCACAAGGAGGACTTGGCAGTATGGATGGTTTTCTTAGATGGGTACAATGGCAGGTCCTATTGGCAACAACCAGAGGTGTCGAATTCTGTGCTACACCTGTTCACTGATGCGGCAGGAGCATCAGGATTTGGGGCTATCTTAGGGACGCAATGGTGCGCGGAACCTTGGCCTGAGGCTTGGGTTGCTGCTGGCCTTACCAAAAATATGGCCCTCCTTGAGCTCTTCCCCATCGTGGTGGCAGTTCATTTGTGGGGGATGGAGTTCAGGGACCGGCGCGTCGTCTTCCATTGCGATAACTTGGGGGTGGTGCAGGCCATTAATAATCTAACGGCCTCCTCCCCTCCGGTGGTCAGGCTCTTGCGGCGTCTGGTTTTACGATGCTTGTCATTGAACGTGTCATGCCGCGCTGTGCACATTCCAGGTGTTGTGAATACCACAGCTGACGCCCTCTCTCGTTTCCAATGGCAGGTATTTCGATCGGCTGCTCCGGAAGCGGATCTGGAAGGTCTCTCCTGTCCCGCGGAACTCTGGTCCCTTGGCCTGAACGAATAAGGGAGTGGATACGGTCGTCGGTGTCAGAGGCAACATGGGTCCGGTCAGGGCCAGATTAAGAGCCCAATGGGCCTGGAGCTGACAATTATGATGGGCCTAATTACAGAATCTTATCGACCAAAAACACTGAAACAACCATACCTCCCAAGCGTCATGTATCTGATGGAGATGGTGTTGGAGGGAGAGGATGCAGCTATACAAAAACACATACTCTATGCTAATCTCTCTCTAATTCATGTTTTCATCTTTCAAGTAAATCCATACCTCCTAACAGCAGTGTCCAGTGAAGCAGGAAGTCAATGGGCAGGGTAAAAGGGTGTGCCACTGACGCGAATCACGTGACCAGAACTGCAAAAAGGGGTGAACATGCCCAAAAAGGGGGCATGTTTGTCCAAAGAATTGAAAGGCCAGCCTGGCATGAATGCATGTCAGGCTGCCTATCAATCCTGCAGGCTGTCTAAGTACATACTATGTAGGCAGCACCCTGAGCTTGACATAAATGCTTCAAATGATGCTCCTACTCCACACTTTCTAAGGACTGTTCCCTAGCACTCACATGTCCACTTGTCACCTTATCGTCTTACTAGTAGGCAGAATTCCTGGTATATAGTCTGGGACAGAGTTAAGCTGTATGTAGTGAGTGTAGTGAATGTAGTGTGTGTAGAAGACAGGGGACATGCCACAGTGTTAGAGAAACCAAAGTCTGCATTACCTAAACTAATTTTATTGTCAGCCAGTCTACATAAGTTTTGTTGCCATACATCCCTCTTAAGCTTCCAAACTTAAAGGGATACTATAGTCACCAGAACAACTACAGCTTGTTGTATTTGTTCTGGTAAGTAGAATCATTCCCTTCAGGCTTTTTGCAGTAAACACTGTCTTTTCAGAGAAAAATAACTCAACTGGCCACTCCTTAGATTGTGCAAGGATTTTTGCCGCCCTAGGCAAAAGTAAATTTTGCCGCCCCCCCCCCCTCCCATGTGACATCACAATGCCCCACCCATATGATCTGCTATGTTAACTAAAGCCAGTGCTGCTGTGCCGCCGTGTTTACATTAAAAGGCCTGCAGGGACAGGCTATGGACACCAGAACCACTACATTAAGCTGAAGTGGTTCTGGGGACTAGAGATTAGTGCCACGAATAATATACTAGATTGCCTACTTACAACCAGATGAGGATGATGATGGGCTCTAGCTGCAGTCTGGCTCCACTGGTCTGGTGTAGAACAGGCTTTCTGGAGGCTGTTTGTAACTGTGGTCACAAAAATCAATGTTCTGGGAGAACGGGAAGCAGCTCCATTTTGTTAAGGCCCTTTACACAGCTCAAGGTCTGGGTCCCAGGGTACACCTTCATGTTCCACCAATGAGTTTGTTCACGGGGGTGGAGTAGGGGGATGTCCTGATATGTGTGTAAGGAATGCATTGTGTGAATCTGTGTTTGTATGTGTAAGGGCTGCAAGGTGTGTTTCTGTGTATGTACGGGATGCAGTGTGCGCGTCTGTAAGGGTTACATTGAGTGTGTGTAAGGAATGCATTGTGTGTTTCTGTGTGTGTAAGGGATGCATTGTGTGTAAGGGTTGCATTGCTTGTGTGTGTCTGTGTGTGTAATGCATTGTGTGTTTTTCTGTGTGCAATGGGTGCATTGTGTGTGTGTCAATCTCTTGATATCCCTCTGGATGTCAATCTCTTCTCCCCCCTCTCCCCCCCCCTTGTCCCTCTCTTCTACCCCCTCCCTTGTCACTCTCTTTTGTTTCCTGTACCCGGCCGGACTAACAGGAAGTGCACACTCAGTGTGCACTTCCTGTTAGTCCGGCCGGGTATAGGAGACAGATGCTCCCTGTACCCGCGGACCAATAGAGGGCTTGGCCACGCTACAGAGAGGGAGTGACAGGAGGGAGCGCTGAGCGCACCCCTCCTGTCAGCCCCTCTCCTCATGCTGCGCCCGGGCGGTGCGCCCTCATGGACGCACCGCCCGGGCAAAGCTGCAGCTGCCTGAGGCTCTCTGCAGAGCACTCAGGCGGCTGCAGCATGAGGGAAGCCAGCGCTCCTGGCGGCACCCCTTCCCAAGGGGCGCCCCAGACGGCTGCCTAGTCCGCCTAACAGGTAGCACCGGACCTGGCTAGAGGTGCTTCCTGGGGCAGTACTGCCTAGTGTGCAGCACTGCAATTCAGTGTATCCACCCTCTGCATGAAGACACTGAACTTTCCTCATAGAGATTCATTGATTCAATTTATCTTTATGAGGATATGCTGATTGGCCAGGGCTATGTTTGACTTGTGCTGGCTCTGCCCCTGATCTTCCTAGTTTACAGTCTCAGCCAATCCTATGGGGAAGCATTGTAATTTACTCAGACCACCACTTCTGATTATGTCAGCAGACAGCAGCTGCAGACCTGAATACAAGTAAGATTTTACTACATTTAGGGAGGCAAGAGACGGTCAGGGGGGCTAGAAGGTTTTTTTACATAATAGGGTCAGAAATACGTGATTGTATTCCTGACCGTATAGTGTTCCTTTAAGCAAGAGTATGTGAAGAGTAGTTAGGGTTGCCAACTTTCTTGGAAAAAAATACCAACCTTTGTATAATTAGTTATGAGTGACATCACAAGGAGTGACATAAGAGAAAAGTCTGTAAAATCACCAACAAAGTACTCACAGTTTGAGTCTGCTGTATAGATGAATTGCTCCCAGTGTCTCCCTGTCTCCCAGTGTCTCAGTCTCGCAAGTCTCCCCATTTCTCAGTGTGTCCCCATGTATCACAGTGTCAGTGCCCCCATATCACCCAGACCCTAATCTCCCAGTGTCCCCATTTTTCCCAGTGTCCCCATGTCTCAGTGTGTCCCCATGTCACTAGGGTACTAGGGGACACAGTCAGGGCCAGATTAAGAGCCACGTGGGCCTGGTGCTGACAATTATGACGGGCCTAATTACAGAATCATATCGACCAAAAACAGTAAAACACTCCCAAGCATCATGTATCTGATGGAGATGGTGCTGGAGAGAAATGAAACAGCAGCTATAAGAAAAGGCTAATCTCTCTCTAATTTATGTTTTCATCTTTCAAGTAAATCCATAACCCCTAACAGCAGTGTCCAGTCAGGCAGGAAGTCAATGGGCATGGTAAAAAGGTGTGCCACTGACACAAATCACGTAACCTGCCAAAAGGGGCGTACATGCCCAAAAAGAGGACATGTCTGCTCAAAGAATTAGAAGGCCAGCCTGGCATGAATGCATGTCAGGCTGCCTGCCAATCATGCAGCTGGCCAACTAAGGGCATACTATGCAGACAGCACCCTGAGCTTGGCATAAATGCATCTAATGATGCGCTCACTCAATGCTTTCTAAGGACTGTCCCCTAGCACTCGCTGGTCCACTTGTCTCCTTACCTTCTTACTAGCAGGCAGAAGCTCCTGGTATATGGTCTGGGACAGAGAAAAGCTGTATGTAGTGAGTGTAGAAGAAAGGGAACATGCCACAGTGTTAGAGAGACCAAAGTCAGCATTACCTTAAAGGATCACTATAGGGTCAGGAACACAAACATGAATTCATGACCCTATAGTGTTAACACCACCATCTAGCCCCCCTGGGCCCCTCATGTCTCCATAAATATAGCAAAATCTTACTATATTCAAGCTCGAAGCTGTAACTCTGCATGCAGTTAGACTCATAAAAACAAGCAGTCTGCTGACATCATTAGAAGTGGTGGCCTAATCCAATCATAGTGCTTCCCCATAGGATTGGCTGATACTGACAAAGAGGCAGATCAGGGTCAGAGCCAGCATGATTCAAACACAGCCCTGGCCAATCAGCATCTCCTCATAGAGATGAATTGAATTAATTAATCTCTATGAGGAAAGTTCAGTGTCTGCATGCAGAGGGTGGAGACTCTGAATGTTTGGATGCATTTTAGGCAGCCATGACCCAGGAAGGATCTCTAACAGCCATCTGAGCAGTGGCCAGTGAAGTTATCACTAGGATGTAATGTAAAGACTGCATTTTCTCTGAAAAGACAGTGTTTACAGCAAAAAGCCTGACGGTAATGATTCTACTCACCAGAACAAATTCAATAAGCTGTAGTTGTTCTGGTGACTATAGTGTCCCTTTAACTATATTCATTGTCAGCTAGTCCACACAAGTTTTGTTCCCATACATCCCACTTAAGTTTCCATACTTAAGTAAGAGTATGTGAAAAGTAGTTAGGGTTGCCACCTTTCTTGGAAAAAAAAAGGAGTGACATAAGAGAAAATGCTGTAAAATCACCAAAAAAACTATTAGTTTGATTCTGCTGTATAGATGGATTCCTCCCAGTGCCCCCATGTGTCCCTATGTATCAGTGTCTCAGTGCCCCATGTCTCCCAGTGTCCCCTAGTGTCGTGTCCCCAGGTCTCCCAGTGATCCTATGTATCACAGTGTCTCAATGCCCCATGTCTCCCTGTGTCCCCATGTATCCCAGGGTCCCCATGTCACTAGGACACTAGGAAGACGGGGAGACCTAGGGACATGGAGACACAAGTGACACTGAGAAACTAGGTGACTCTGGCTGGGACACATGGGGACAATGGGAAAATAAGGGACACTTGAAGACATGGGGACACAGACACCAGGGACACAGACACTAGAGACATTGGCTGGGGGACATTGAGACATGGGGACACTGAGACACCAGGGCCACAGACACCAGGGACACTAGCTTGGAGACATGGGGACATTGTGACACTTTAGGCAATGAGAGACATGGAGACAGTAAGACACTGGCAGACTGGGAGACTAGGGGTCACTGGGAGACAAGGGGACACTGAGACACCAGGGACACTGGCTGGGAGACATGGGGACACTGTGTCCCCATGTGTCTGTGTCATAATATCTCCCAATGCCCCTTAGTGTCTCAGTGTCTGCCATAATATCTCCCAGTGCCCCTTAGTGTCTGCTTAATTCTAGTGTCTGCCATAATGTCTCCCAGTGTCCCTTAGTGTCTCAGTGTCTGCCATAATGTCTCCCAATGTCCCTTAGTGTCTCAGTGTCTGCCATAATGTCTCCCAATGTCCCTTAGTGTATGTCTCCTTACAGCCTTTCCCCCCCCATCCCTTACTTCCCTGAGCTGTAGGCTGTCTCTGCAGGGTGGGAGTTGCTGTCTGGACTCTCTGTAGCTGCACCCCTGCAGATCAGTGAGTATAGATAGGCAGGGAGGGATATGCTGGAACTTCCTATCCCTGCCTGTCTCCACACACAGCGACCCCTACTGGCCAGTGCTGGTATTGCAGCGTAATCTCTTGTTTATACTGATAAAAATACCAGCATTTGTATTACCAGTATCACTGCAATTGGCAACAGCCAGGCAGCCTCAAATACTGGCTGTGCCAATAAAATAAAAGCCAAGTGGAATCCCTAAGAGTCGTGTGTAAAAATTATTTTTTTTTTTTAAATCAATGGGCCTATTCCATGGGCCTGGGCCTGGAGCTGCAGCTCCATCAGCCCCTATGTTAATCCGGCCCTGGGTCCGGTATGGTAAGGCGTGGAGGGATTGGGTCGCACTGGAACAGGATTGCGGTGGGTTCGGCTCCTCTGCCGAGAGGGTCCAGGGTCTGTTACGGTTGCTCTGGTTCTGGGAGGCTAGCGGGTGTTCCCCAGCTACGGTTTCAGGGAAGCTATCAGGCCTTAGTTTCTGGTTCAACTTAACCCAGGTACCCGATGTGACAAAACACTGCATGGTGAGGCTTGCGATGCGCGGTTGGCGGAAAGGCCCGATGGTGCGGGATACTCGGAGGCCGGTTTCGGGCGCGCTACTGTTAGGGATCGCCTCGGTTCTCCCCCAGGTCTGTTTTTCAGCTCCGGAGGCTAGATTGTTTTTGGTGGCGTTTACTTTCGCCTTTTTTGGGGCTCTTCGGGTTGGAGAACTGGTGAGCCCTAGCAGGGGGACCCCTGGGGGGCTTTTATTTCAGGACGTGTTTGTCACGGGTACTACGGTGCAATTTTTGTTGCGCCGGTCCAAGACCGACGTTTTTGGCAGTTTGCCCCGTCTCGGCATACCTATCTTACAGTTCCGGGCGTCCAGGTTTCTCTGGCCCGCTGTTAATTCATGAAAATGGTGCCTACTTATCTCGATTTCAATTTCTCAGGGTATTTCGCCTGGCCCTTGATCGGCTGGGAATCCCGAGCAAGGATTTTGGGGGTCATTCCTTCCGCATTGGGGCCGCAACCGAAGCCTCTCGGTTGGGTTTCTCTGATCAGGCTATTCAG